TGCACTCCCCTCCCCATTACCCTCTCCCTTCACCCGCATCCCCCTTCCTCCGGCTCCTTCCCCCTCCCCCACCCCTTACCGGATCCCAATCTCCTACCCCTTCCCTACCTCAAATGTGCTAACCCAACGCCAGGCTCTGCCATGACCTGTCGTCCTATTCGTCCATGCAGAGTCCACGCAGTCTGATTGGAAGGGCCAGGCCTGCAATGTGCGATGGCCGTTGCAGGAGTGTGGACATCGGGGCGTCACCACGATGACTGCCTCGCCTTGCCTCGCTTCGCCTCGCCTCGCCGGGATGATGCCTCACACCGGTGCATGGTGGGTGGTGCATGGTGGGTGGTGCGAGGAACGTGGGCTAGTTATGGGTCACCGGTGGGTCACCGGTGGATCACTCCCAGGTGATGTTCGGATCACACCCGGCCCTCTCTTATGTCACTTTCCAGGTGTGCAACCGTCATTCTCCATCATTGTCCTCCCCCCATCCCCTTCCCCTTGCCTTTTCGCGTCACCATCCCCTTCCCCGTTCCCATCCCATCCTCTTTAGTACCATCCCATCCCCTTCCCCTTCAACGCACCCGTCCCCTTCCCCATTTCCATCACCATTCCCGTCGTCATACTCCCCCTTCCCCACATATCAGGGTGTGCATATCGCAACAAGTAGCCTTCATCTCCCTCCCTCACCACTCTCACTAGTCCCTCTCGCTGACTTCCCATGCTGCTCTCACTGCTCCCCTGCCTTGCCACCACTGCCACACTCTCTGCCTCTCCTTTGTTTATAGATGATTCCTGTAAGTGGAGAGGTGTGAAAGTTAGGAGATCGACACACCACGCGCCCCTTTTGAGGCGAGAGGGTGGACGAGCATAGGGAGGAAAAGGTGCGTTGTGAGTGAGTGAGGGGTGCTGGACTGCTTGATGCTTATGAATGACTGGTGAGTCACTAGGGAGGCGAGGCTGGGCGGGCTGCTGGGTACCTCGTGGCAGTTTCCTCCCTTGGTGGCGAGCAATGGCTGAAGGAAGTGTGTGTGTGGTGAGAGGGACGTTGGCTCATGGTCACCTCAGGTCACCTCAGGTCACTTTCAGGTCACTTTCAGGTCATTTGCCAGACACCCTCAGGACACCCTCGAATCACTTTGATGTCACTCTTAGGAAACGCTGAAAGCCCCTGTGGAAGTCTAAATATCTGACTCCTTCTCTCCCATCGTCCACTTCCCCTCCCACATCCTCCTCACTGGCATTTCCCTCTGGCCCATCCTGGGCTGTCCCACTGCCCCTCCCACTGCCCCCCTTTTGTCTGAATTCCCTCAAGTTGTGCACACTCCATCACTGTCCCACCATTTCCTTCCCCTTACACTTTCCCATTCACATTCCCTCCCCCATCCCCTTACACTCTCGAACGGCCCTTTCATTGATAACAGTTGGCTTACAGACATGCAAGGAGGTAGATAGTGCGATTCAGGTGCATAAAACCTCTTACTACTCCCCTAACACCTAACCCCCCCCCCCCCCCCCCCGAAGCTAAGTCCAGTACAGGGTCCAGGACCCCAAGGCAGTCCCCTAGGGACGGAGCCTCACCCACTGCCTCGAGCAGTGGGTTTTCTACTGCAGCCGCTATGCTGCACTTTTCCAGGTACCCAATTGACTGCCCCCGTTGAAGAGCCACCGACCACCGCTGCCTATATTGGTGTAAAAGCTTGGCAGCTTGGTAGGAGGTGGGCTCGGCGTTGAAAAACCGCCGTGCAGCCGTTTCTGCGAGAAGTTTCAGGAAGTCCACCGACTCCGGGCAGGGGCACCCGTATGTCTCGACCGCGAGTGGGAAGAATTTCACCCACTCAGGGCGGTCCTTGTATAGGCCATGCTTCTTATCCGCTGCCTCCCTTGCCGCCCACCCCCTCCCCTTTGTGGCGTTCTCATCACGGGTGCTGATGGGGTCCGTTATCGTCACATCGCAGATGTAGACGGCCCCAGTGGAGCGGCAGCGTAAGGCCAAGTCTGCCTTCTTCTCCTCCACTGGGCTGAAGGCGGCGGTCTCGACGTGCACCATGAAGCCCGCGTCTCGCGCCATCCGTGCGCACTCATCTCTGAGCTCGTTGTTATGCGCCCTCCCCCTGTTCCGCATCGTAGCAGGTGATTCGGCAGTCGTTTGTCCGGGATCTCCACCTTTTTGGAGCAGTTGCAAACCCCCGGGGCCGCAACGGGCAGCCCCAGCTGAAACTGGAGCGCGTTGGCATAGTGGGGGGCCTCGAGGCGGAGCGAGGGGTGGATTGGCACGGCGTTTAACCAGTCCCCCGCCCCATACCCAGACAGGGACAGTAGCCGCTGCGTATGCCCGTTGTTGGGGTTCGGGCTCATCCCCCGCACCTCCTCCACCTGCACGGCATAGCGCTGGCCCTGGATAGCCGTGGCCAGCCCATGCTGTAGTTTCCCTGCTGTTGGCGCCGTTCTCTCAGCCTGAAGCGTTTCCTGGGCTGGAAGCGGCAGTTCCCCTTCACAGTCCGCTAGCCATTCGGACAGGGGGGAGGACTCGGTGTAGGGGCCACGCATCAGCTCGCGCGTGGTTTCCAGTGGGCCAGTGCACTCGCTTTCCAGGGAGTCAAGCAGCAGCTGCGCCTGCGTATAGCTGGCGAGGAAGCTGTAGCTTCCTTCCACGGATGGGTCCGTCAATCCAAGGCCACCAAGCGATACGGGGAGTGAGGCTTGCGATTATGTGCGTGAGATTTCCTCGTCCCCCCGGGGGTGGATGATGTCGCATGCTGATAGTAATGTTTCCAAAAGCCTTCTTCCCCACTCAGACCATTCCTCCTTTGGCAGGCAAGGCAGAGGGGTTGTGCGGGCCAGATATGACACTCGGCGGGAGATACACCGAGAAAGCAGCAGTCCCGCCAGCTGCGGTTCCATCCGCTCAATCAATCCCAGCGGAGCGCCCATCGCCTCCAGGCTAGACTGCACGAAGGCAGTGGTGGCCGTGGAGGTGCCAATGTAGCTGCCCAGCACCTTCAATCTGTCGCTGCTGTGAGGAACCCCTTCTGGCAGGCGGAAGTCCGTGGGCATCCTGCCTGCCCAAGCCCCGCATTTGGAAGGATTGTGGCTGAGCCCGATCTCAGCCAAGCGACCCGTGAAGTGTGTAAAAGCAGCCGCGCATGACGATGGCTCTCCTAGGAAGGTTACGTCGTCTGCGTAGGCCAAGCAGATGACCTCGGGGTCGGCTTCCGCTGCTGCCCTCAAAGCTGGCTGCATCGCCGCGGCAAAGAGAAGGGGGCCAAGGGGATCTCCCTGGCGGACCCCTGTTTCACTGAGCAGAGGAGGGTGGTCGAAGGCTGCATCTAGATGCAGCGAGGAGGGTTGGCCGTATGAGAAGTGCACCAGCGGCAGCAGCGGCTCCAGCTGCGATCCCTTCAAGGCCGTCGCTATGGCATGGCGGCTGACGCTGTTGAACGCGTTGGCCAGGTCAGCCTGTAACACCAGCGCTTCCTGGTTGGCTGCTGTGTAGGTACGTACAACATGTATTACTGCTTCCGCTCCTCCTGGCACAGCCACTCCGAACTGCAGAGGTAAGAAATATTCTCGCGCTGCTTCCGCTACTTGGGTGAGTGCTGCCTTGGCTGCTAAACGTAGGATGCACTCCCCTATGGCAATGGGTCTCGTTCCTCCATCTGGTTTGTCGAGAGCTATCAAGCGTGAGGCTGTCAGAAGCTTCCCAACGTCCTAATGCAGCTTCCCTCTCAGGATCGTGTTAACCAACGCATGCAGGTGAGTACCAACCGTGGCGTGCAGCAAGGCAGCTTCGCGAAGGTGCTCGAATGTTGTCCCAGAGGGACCCGCACCTACCCCATTCTCACACTTCGATAGCAGCTTCAGGAAAGTTTCGCGCGATACTGCCAGGTAAGAATCTGGCTCGGGCTGTGGCCAAGGTGAGTCAGAGCGCGGGGCGCCAGGGTGCTTGGCGCGGAGGGCTTCCAGAACCGCCGGGGAGGGCTGGCTGACTGGCGTGGCTTCCAGTGCCATGATAGCTCTCCGTAAGCTGCCACGTCGCGCCAATCCTTCTGCTCTAGATATTACTCCCAGGTCGTCTGGCTGGTGTCTGGGAGGGGGTGGGGAGTCCAACGAATCAATTGTTTCCTCATACACTGCCTCCCATTCCCCTCGCAGGAATTTGCGCAAGCGTTCCCTGGTCGCCTTCCAGTCAGGGTGCCTCGGCGAGTGCTGACGTAGCGTCAGGCGAGCCCCAAACAGCAAGATTGTCCATGCTGGGATTGAGTCAGGGTCATGCGCGAGCCGCAGCAGTGGTGTCAGCATCACCATTGCGAAAAGTAGGCGCAGTTTTTCCGGCAGGTGACGTGCCAGCGGAGCGTTGCGACTGTCGCGCAGCTTATCCAGGTTCCATGTACGGACATTCGCAAATAATGCGTCGTCCTTGGCGAGGGCTTCTGGCGACTTTTGGGGGGGTGGCTGTGGTTGCTGTTGGTTACCCCTCGCTGCTGTTCGTGGGGCCTGTGCAGGTGGCGATGTCAGGTTCGGTTGAGCGGGATTGTTGGCAGTGGTGGCAGGGAGGCGGGATTCGGTTTGAATCTGTGGTGAGTGTTGCGGCTGGGTTGGCGTGTTCCTGAAATTTGTTGACGCGCCTCGGGCATGGGTTGAGCTGATTCTCCCCCGAATTGGAGTTTGTGACTGGGCCTCCTCTGAGGCATTCGAAGTTGAAGGTGAGCCTGCCTCTTCCTCTTCTGCTACAAATACGCTTCCCGATAACTCGCCTTCCTCATTAGCTCTTACTAATTCGGTTAAAGCCCTTCTCGCCGCCTGGAACGCATTTTCCGGTCCTCCTTCACGAGACCCTCTGCCACGTCCGCGACCTCCGGCTCTTCCCCCACGAGTCCGCGCACTGGCCGCGGCTAGCTGTGGATTTCCTCGACCACCCACTCCCGCGTTCTGACGCGACCGCGCGTCCTCGATCGCTTGTTGCCGGCGCGTTCGCCTTGATGGCGACTGAAGCGGAGAAGTCAGCGATGGACCAAGGTCACACCGCTAAGAGTGCAAATGCTCCGCCCCCGGCTCCTGCTGGCGCCGTTGCTGATGTTGCTGCTCCCCAGCTTCCCCCGGCTCCCCGTGCTGTTGTTGCGACGTCAGCGCTTCCGCTTCCGCTGTCGCCGGCCCCCCCACCGAGCCTCCCGCATGTTGATCACGAGTCTGGCGCGCCAGTTCACGATGCGCAGCCGTCGCCTGGGGCGCAGCCGCCCGCCCAAGCTGTCGCTGGGAACCCAGCGCTGGCGACAACGGTGGGCGCCGGCCCCGATTCTGCCCAGTTTGTTGCCCCTTCGGCTGCGCCGGTGAATCCCGTCGCGCAGCGGCCCGCGGGGTCTCAGATACGCGCTGTCGCGGGGGGCAATGCGGCAGCGCATCGGGGGCGAGGTTCTCCTCGGCGACGCCCCTCCTCGTCATACCGTTCAGCGCACCGCGGAGGCCGCGGGGGCTGGTGGGGAGGTCACGGTCGCGGGGGCGGCGGGCCGAGCGAGATGCAGCAGCTGCGGGAGGATTTCCCGGGGATGCTGGCTGCGGCGATGCGCAACGCTCTGAATGGCGCACCGAGTCTTGGTGGCTCCCTGGCTCCCGCTGCTCCCGCGCCCGCGCCTGCTCCTGTGAATGCGCAGGATCCGGCCGCGCCCCTTGCCGCACCTGCTCCGCCCGCCTCTGCCTACCCGCGGGCTCCTGTTCCTGGCGGGGACCGTGCTCCGCCTGCCTACGTTCGTCCTGTGGCTGCCTCGCAGTATCCGCCCCTGCCCTGGATTCCCCCTCTTCCGGACACGGGATTTGTGGGAGCGGGAGGCGGAGCGGCGAGGGGACCCTTCGTTCCGCCTCGCCGTGGTGTTGATGCTCCATCCGTGCAGCCCCCACCCCCTCTTCCTGTCCCGCCTGCCGCGTTGAGGACTGGGGTGGCCCAAGTTCCCACGGCGACCCTGGCCCAGCTGTGGCGCTTGGTGGAGTGCCAGCAGGCCCTGACACTGATTCTGGTGAATGCGCACTTCGCCATTCTCCAGAGCCCAGGGAGCACTCTCGGTCCTGGGGCGCGAGGAGATTGCTTGGCTGCGGCTGCGCAGCTTGCCTTCCTCCTACTACCCTTGCTGGGAGCGCCCGCGTTGGGAGGCGTAGCGGTTTCAGAACTGAACGACACGGTCCAGGGTCTGACCGCACACCTCCAGGCTGGCGGCGGGATTGAAGCAGTAGGCGCGACCGCGTTAGTGGTCCAGCAGTTGTGGAGGACCATGCGTGGTATCCTCGCGGCCATTGAGGCCCATCTGATGTAGTTTCCGGTGCCCTTCGCGCGTACACCCTCTGCATCTTCGGAATTTGTAGCTTGGCGCGTGGCGCATTGCTGTCTTGTGCGGTTTGTTTACTGTTTTTTTATGCTGCTATTCCTTGCCACCCCCAAAGCACGCGGCCGAAGGCCGCCGGCGCGAGCGCCTACGAAAAAGAAAAACTGAACTAATGAGAGAAAGAGGTCCCAACAGGACCTTTATATAGCCTGGAGGCAGGGGACAGAGGCAAGGGACAGAGGCTGAGTCCCTTCTCTCTCTCGCTCTCTCTCGCCTACGAAAAAGAAAAACTGAACTAATGAGGCCCGCGTGCATGTGGGTGGGGCACACATGGTGCAGAGGACTCAGCCTCTTTATCTGTGCTGGTCCTGTTACTGATAAGTGGGTGATAATGGGCGGCTGGGTGATAATGCGCGGGTGGGTGGCGTAATGGGTAGGTGGTGGTGCTAATGTGCGAGTGGGTGTCAATTGGTGGGAGTTAATGGGTGGGTGGATGCTAATGGGTGGGTGGGTGATAAATGGTGGGGATAATGGGTGGTGGGTTATAATGGGTGCGTGGGTGCCAAGGTGGGTGCTTTCTAATGGGCGGTTGCCCTACCATCCCTCACTTTCCAAACCTCCTTGTCAAAATCTTTTGTACTGCCAAAATTCCTTGTCAAAAGCTGCCCTTGATTTCATCTTTGTGCCTTCATCATCCTCGCCTCTTGAAGCATTCACAAACTCCCCACCCACCCCTACCCTCCAACAGCACTATTCTGCAAGCACAAGGTTGGCATCACCACTCTCAGCATCGTAGTTCCAGTGGCTCTAACAACGTTGTACTTTCAGTTTGGTATGTGGCTCTAACAGTGCTCAACATTCCACTCTCTTTAGTTACAACATCTCTGAATGCATTTGTTGAACTTTCTCCCAAATGCATTCTCTCATTATGGAAAAGCATCTCTCATTAAAAGCTCAGCCTGTAATCTCTCATGCACCTTTCGATTCTAGATTTTCTGATGCATACCTTTAATCTACACCTAAGAAACCATCTTCATGGAGCTCATCTCTGTAAATGCGTATCCAGAAAAGCTTCACTCGGAATGATTATTTCTGCGAATGCATATTTCAGGATGCATATCTCCTTCAAATGCATATCTCATATTTCCATAGAATCTATATTTCAGAATTAGAGACAAGTACCCCTATGCATATCAGATGCATCCATTTTTTCAACACGCATCCTGCAGATTCTCATTTGCAAACCACAGTTGTCTGCTGCAATCCCTGACACTCTTCTCAGACCAACCATGATTTTTTTCTTGGCCCGTCCCTCTTTTCCTCCTTCCCATACCTGTGGGCAGGTTTGGACAAAACTTCGACTTTTATGCCATGGGCTAACTTGCAGGCTACTAGTAGTCATGGGTTAGTCATCCTGGAAACAAGCGGGATGGCGCATAGTACTCAACAATGTTCATCCTGTCTGAATGTCAGCAGCATGCTGGTCTATTTGGTGCATGTGGGTACGGTACCAATGAAGCACGACAGGATTGTCTCTGCACTAAGACTACAACCGAAATGAGAACATTCTACGCAAATACCTAATGAACTAAGGGCGTGTTCCTATGGCCTCTTATCAGGCCAACCTCTTGTCAGATTCGCTTCGCACCGCACTGAAAACACGCGTAATAACGTTCGATTGCACTGAACCGCACAAGTCTGACAAGAGGTCGCTTGATAAGGGGCCATAGGAACACACCCTAAAAACGGCTGTGGAAGGAAATCAAATTCAAAGAAAGCATGACTGATCCATGAGCCCTCCAGGCATCTCCCATGCCACCAGCTACCTGCAGCCAGCCTCTCCTGTCCAGCAATGCAGAACCGCAAGATAGATGAGAGAGCACCGTGCGCTTATTCATGTCTCTGCTATGCAATGAAAGCTGATCGGTGCCTTCAACTAGGTGAAGCCCTTCTAAAATGTCTACACCACAGCAGAAGGCATCCCTTCATGCCAAGCCTATCTACGCAGGCGCACAAAAATGGGAGGAAGGTAGGGGACGGAGGTGCAGTTGAGTATCAGGTGGTGCAGCTGGGTGAGAGATTCGGGGAGGTGCTCCAATGCGCTGCAGCCAATAAGCTCCAGTTTGCGCAGCCGAGACAAGCAGCTCATGCCCTGAGGTAGCGCCACCAGCTGAGGTGCTTCAATCGCAAGTGATGTCAGCGAACGCAGCTCCAGTAAAACTCCAGGCAGCTCCTCCGGTAACCAGGAAAGAAGCCGCAGATGCAGTAGTTGCGGAAATGCTGTCACCATGTTTACTGGGAGGCTGCAAACTCTGGGCGCACATATCAGCAGGCTGCGCAAGCTAGGGAGACAAATTGAGGTCAGGAAAACTGGGAGCTCCTGACTGTCACGTTCCAAATACATCTCCAGTATCTCCAGCTGTTGCGGACACGAGAACCTGCTGCTCACTGCACGCCCGCATCGCACCCCAACGCAGTTCAGCTTCAGCACCCTCAGCTGCGACAGCTGGGAGATGTCCACCACATGGGAAGCACCTCTCCTGAAGGACCCCAGACAGAGCGTCTCAAGAGAGGTGGGCAGATGAGCAGGGGGTCTACTCAGCTCCTCACACCCCGTCAGCTCCAGCCTCTTGAGTCCCACGAGTATGTCCAGCCGCGTGGGTACTTTTATGAGAGACCAGCAGCCTCTAACCTCCAAGGTCTGGAGCCTCGTAAGGCGTATCAGTGAGTTAGGAAGCCTGCTGACGGGACACTCAATTATCTTCAACTCGCGTAGGCTGGTCAGCTCTCCCAAGAATTTCAGAAGCACGATTCCATCGCAACTAGTCAGCTCCAGGCTCGTCAGGGAAGACAGCTCGGTGAAGGACGCGGGAAGAGGGTGGTTACGGCAGTACCGCAACCTAAGAGTCTCCAGACCTGCAAGGGCTCCAATTTCCTCTGGCAAGGCATGCTTCAGGCTTGACAAGGAGAGTGCCTTGAGAGCCGTAAGCTGGCAGAAACCTGCTGGCAGCTGCTGAAGGTAGGGACAGCCAACCACAAAAAGTGCTTCGAGAGATGTGAGATGACTGAAGGAAGGAGGGAGTTCTCTGAAACCTACAGACTCTAGCACCAGCAGTTTAAGGGCAGGCAGATGACCGAGGTTGTTGGGTAATTTGAATGAGTTGTAGTTAGAAACGATGAGGGTTTCCAAACGGCGCAGAGCAGTGAAATTTCCAGGCAATTGGTCAAGAGAACAACGCTCACGGATGGTTAGCTTGCGAAGGCACGGCAATAAGTCTCCAATGGGCTCTGCAAGGCTCGTCAGCTCAGTGTAGTTGCTTATCATCAGCTCCTCTAAACCGGTGGCGGGCGATGCCGATGAGAAGATGGTGTTGAGACTAGGACAAGATTTGAAAAAAATGAGCGATTTTAGGAAAGACGGCAGCGTCACGCTTGCAGCACCCGCCTGCTGATGGGTCTGGTATGGGCCGAGGGTGGAAAGGTGGACGAGCCGTGGGAGGTGAAAGAGGGTGGACAAGTGCCGATGGTTCATGGGAAAGGTGACGTACAGAGCAGTAAGGGAAGTGAGGTTCGTAAAACCGGGATTCTCAATGGCTGCAGCGTCGGTGAGAAGAAAGGTGTGCAGACGCCTCAACTGAAACAAAGAATCTGGTAGCTTTGTTTCTTGGTGAAGGCAGAAGAGTGTAACCATCTCCAATTCGGGGAGCTCTTGAAAGAACCGATTCAGGCCCTTGGTAGTTAATGGACGCTCCTCCTTTCTACGGTAATGAAGCTCTACCATGCCGCCAAGGTAGCTGGGCAATCGCGGTGCATAGCTCCTCCCCACGTGGAGAGTCGTCAGTTTCGGACATGATGAAGCAAGGTGAGCAAGAAAGGCGTCGCCGATCGACTCCACACTTCTGTCGCTCAGATGCAGATGGGTAAGATTTGAAAAACCCGCGACGACGACTAAGAGATCTTTGCGGGTTACCAGAAGGTCTTCTTTGACAGTGAGCGTAGTTACACGAAGTTTCATAAGATGACGCCAACGACGGCAGACGGATGTGATGAGGAGATTACGAGCCACGTCTGTAGCGACCGAAGGTGGGGCTGATATCGGCGGGACTATCACAAAGTTACGCGTGACTTCATCACTACCAAAACCTGGCCAGGCGTCAGTGGCCAAGTTTTCTCAGTGAGATTCGCGTGAAGCCGGTTGCTTAAAGGAGTGCGTAAGGATGGTAAGGAGGAGATCGTCAGGGAGACGATGGATCGGCGGAGACTCCATTGTCAATCGAGATACTGCTAGGGAGGCGGAAGACTGTCAGGAGCTCAGGTCTAGATGCAGCGACACTAGAGAGCCCTCAAGAACAGCTCTCAGCCGAGACGACAGATCTGGAGCTATTTGTGAAAGAACAGTTCTTTCCAACCTAAAATGATTCCTCGTGCGCGTTCCCTGGATGGCTGCTGCTTTCTGAGCTGAATCCCTAGAAGCTGCAGCTTTATGAGGACTGTGCTCACTAGAGTTCCTTCCCGCGGGAGGCCTTCCGCCAACCTCGGCAATCATTCGCGCCAGTCAGCCTTCGTCGTGCGTGAGTCGTGTCTCACTTCTCCCCCCGTCCCCGTCACGCGGAAGTACTAGAAGAACCAAGAAGGAGCTGGGATGTTCATACGGCGCGGCTCGGGAAAAACCCCGCCCACGCCTTGGGATGCACGGGGCGCGGAGAAATCGCGGGGAGCGTGGGGCGAAGTCGGCCACCCAGGATCCCACCAGGTTTGGACCTAGCGCGGCCCTGCGTGGCTGAGTGAAACCCACCAGGCTGCCACCGAAGGCTCCGCGGCCCCCAGAAAACCGAAAGAACCCACCTCGTTCTTACGCGCCGATGCATGCGCGGCTCGGCAGGAAACGAACGAGATTGGTCGGCAACATTGACGAGCGGGACATCCCGCGCATGCAACCGCGAGTTCGCGACCACAAAGGAGTGCTACTATTGGTTGTTCTCTCTCGCAACTTATCGCGAACAAAATTCGCACAAGCATAGGTTCGTTAAGCGCACAGCGAGACCCGGTTCGATTACAGCTGGCGCGATCTGGTAGGCTCCATGCCGGCTGACACGTGCCGCAATTTGAACGAGCCACACAGCTGTGTGTTCGTTTGGTCGATGCGCGATCGCGGTAACGTGTCAAGCACGTCCACGCAGTGTCCGGTCATTACGCCGAGGACGCCCACAGTTTCCACTTTCCGATCGCCAGTTGCACACCAAGCTCAACCACCTCACGACCCACTGGGATACACCAGACACCAGTATCGCGGTCGTGTTGTGTGCCGCGCTCGAATGTCCGCGAGCACATCGGTCGCGAGGTAGACGCGTCTAAGTCACACCCGGGTGGACAACTAGTGACCGCGCATCATGTTGACGCACGCGGTGAATACGAGTAGGTGCAATCTCGCACGCCGCATGCATACCGTGAATCGCGTCGCGGCGCCAATACTTCACGACTCCATCAATGCTTCGGGCAACACAACCGCGCATCAAATACATAATGCCGAACCACCTACCGCTCCCGTGCATGGGGTGAACGCGCTCAACCCCACATGGAGCACCCCATACGGGCAGCCAGTGGTTTTTGGGTCCCGAACGCCCACGTTTCACCCACAGCAACTGGTCAACGGGCTCCACCTAGCACCGCGGCCACAAGTACCGTTTGCGGCAGCGGCGGTCGCGTTACAAAATCAACCGGGTAATGCGGACGCGCCACCATCCGTGCCCAGTAGCCAGCTCTTTGGGATGCCTGTGCGTGGCTTCGTAGGGCCGCAGTACTCGAACGTGGGATTCAGGTACGGATACATCGGCGTTCAACCAAACCCCATGGTGCACGCACCCGCATCTGTAGTGACGCCTCCTGTCGCGCCGTCAACACCATTCCCCAGCGCGATTCATTCGGAAAGCCAGCCAGCGGTGCAAGCCCCGCCAGACCCTAGAGAAGCATTAGTTGTCGGTTTGGACACACGAGCGCGAACAGACGGCCCATCATCGAACGCAGCTGCCGGTGGTTTAGGGCATGCGGTGAATGGTGGAGCGGGGATGAATGCAAGCGTGCGTGCACATTCGCCGCCAATATGGAACGTGAACTCACTGTTGCCCGGAAACCCCGACGTCCACATCCGCACCCCCACGCATCCGATTGTAGCGTACGCGACTGGTGTAGGTGGGCAACCACAGGCAAACGCGGTAAGGGGAAGAGGGATGGGTGCGAGAGGGAACGCGGGAGGAGGGACAGGGGAGAGAGGGAACGCGGATAGAGGGAGAGGTGCGATACGACGGGGTGGGAGAGCGAGCGCAGGACGTGCGACAGGTGTGGGAGCAAACAAGAATAGTGCGAACGGGCAGGGAGCGCATGGGGTGACAGGTAACGGCGGCAGGGGTAGCGGTGTTAACACGAACGGCGGGTCAGGTAACGGGCCAGTTAATAGACCGCGTATAAGGAGGCGGAGAGTCGATGTAGTGCCGCACACGGCACGCAATGGCTCCCGGGAGGGGAGCGAGGGGACAAGCGATGAGGATGACGAGGACGGCGCTGACGATGCGGACGATAGTTGGAATGACGATGACGAAAACTACCTATCGAACTCGTTGTCCGCGCTCAACGAGGAGGAGGCGGAAGACAACGAACGGGTGCGGGGTACGCGGAGGGACATTGAGGTCCCTATCGCTGATTGGAACAGGCTAGGTGTGGACGACACGCCGGCCGCGAAACGAGAGATGTGCTACGGAATCCTCTACGGTGTCTCGGAGGCCACGCTAAAGAAGTATCGCGGTTGGGCCAACGAGTACAAGCGGTTCATGGCCCACGAGCTGCCTAAACTGGACGCGGGTAGGTTTGGTGATGAGGCCGCGCTGAGAAACGCGAACCCCGACGAGATTGGGGCCGCGCTCGAACAGAACATGGGTGGTGACTGGAAGATGGCGGAGGGCGACGAGCAGTGGTTCCACGGCCCTGAGACGAATCCGTGGCGCTTACGCAAATACGTGACCTTCCTCGCGAACGAGACAGTCGCGCAGGCGGACAGGATGGCCACACTCAAGCGGCCGCAGAAGACCTTGAAGAAGAGACGCCAGTGCACCCCGGCAATGCTGATGGGGCGTCTCAAGGCTTTGAACCTGCTCATCAAGCTGGACGGGGCGATCTTCAGGAAGCCCGTTCTGAACCTGCTGCGCGACTTTGCAGAGTGTCGCATCTGGGTCCGCGTTCAAGTACGCGACCAATACAAGCGGTATATCGCGTAAGTATACGTTCTCAGTGAACTCGTTTAATGCCTGACAATCCCGCGTCCACTAACACCCGCACTATCGTCCCAATCCATGCGCAGGGAACACATGGATCGCCATCGGGGCACGGCCGCGGACACGTACACCCCGGACGAGTTCAAGCATATGATGAGGAAGACCAGCATGGACGCGATCTTGACCAGCTTCACACTAGCCAAGAAAGCATACACGCAGGCAATGCATCGCGACCTCTGCATCCGGACGATGACCGTGCTCGGTCATCACACTCTGGCCCGCGGATGCACGATCAGAAACCTGCAGCTGCCTGACATGATGATGTGGAAGCTAGGCGCAAAATCGGAGACCGATCCAGTTAGAAACGCGTTCATGTTTGTTTGCGCGTGCAGGACGGGCAAGACAAACAAGGACTTCTCGCTCAACTACATATCTGCTGTGAGGCACATAGATTGGACGCTGTGCGCGGTCGGAGCGACGCTGCTGTGGCTGCACTGGGTGTACGACTTGGTTCCCATCCTCTACGAGGACATAGCCCCCCCTCTCGACTTCACGGAACCCTCCACGTGGTACGATCAATATCTGTTCTTCCCCCTTCGCGCGGGCAACGAGAAGCAAATACCGCCCACGACTCATCACGACTGGGCGGCGAAAATTCTCCAGGACGCGGGAATCACATGCTCGCGTGCGGTTCACGCGACCAGGGCTGGGGGGGCGCAGCACGCGTCCGCGGACGGAATGCCTTTGGATCAGCTGGCGAGGCTGGGGGGTTGGCGCTTCATCGACGTGATGACTAAGCACTACCTCACAACCATTCCAAGGGAGGCCGTGCTGCTGAAGGCGGGCTTCACCGGGGTTGACGGTGACTACTTCCTGGGTCGCGCAACTGTTCCGGTCAACGATAAGCTGGATGAGCTACTGAGGAAGCACATTTTCCCATGGGCCGCCACGGACAAAGGACAGCAACAGGTATGTGTGGTCCGCGCATACGCGACCGCAAGCATCTCACATACCACCCTGGCACAGCGTTCACTGCCTTGTTTTTTTATTGTCACAGTGCAAGGATTACAACCGCAGGATGGTGGAAACGCAGAAGCCGGAGAAGCAGGACACCGCGGGGCTAAACATACTGAAGGAGCTGGATGGGGACGCTAGGATGGCGGTCGCGCAAGACCTGGCGATGTATTACATCCACTAGCCGCGACACCCGTACGTGGTCAACAACCCGCTCTGCCAGACAGAGGAATTTGCGTCGTGGGCTGCAGAT